GAAGGTTTTCCACCAGCCTCATGGCTAGGCTTTGAAAGGTAAAAGAAAAAATGGTATTCATTCTGATGTTTTCAAAATTAATTCCTGTAGAGATGGAAGCCCTTGTCCTCAGAGCTCTGGGTCTTTGGGAATATATTTACTATGAGAATGGAAGTGCTCTGAAGATGTAAATTGTTAAAAGGATTTCTCTCCTGGTTTGCTTCATGCAAGACATCAAATTATTAAGCAATTTTAATTTGAAAGAAAATTGAACCAATGGAAGGAAGCAAGGAAATTAGGACACGGAAGTCAGGAAGGGACATTAAGTAATGCTTAGGTGTCTGGGTCAAGCCCTTGGAAAACTTCAATGCAGTGTCTAAGATTCTCATTTTGTCCAATGGAAGACAAGCAATTTAATATGTTCAATCTCACATCTCTACTCCTAGTATGAAATAAAGTTTTTTTTATTGATTGGGAGGGGAATCAATCAAAATTCATGGCTTCCTTAAGGTCCTTACCAACATGAACTGGGGATCCACTCTTTGTCCCTTTCTGATCAAGCTCCTAGTATCAGTGAACAACCTTAATGAAACAAATACTCTGTTTCACAGGTACTATCAAATTACAGTGACATTCCAAACTGCAAGATGGTGGGAGCAAAAGAACAAAGCTAAGCTTTGTAAATATGGACTCAGCTTGAGAGACAAAGAGAACAGTAATAAGTAAGATGATGAAGCATTAATGAAGAGAAGGACTAGGGGTGACATGATAGCAGTGTTCAAATATCTCAGGGGTTGCCACAAAGAAGAGGGAGTCAAGCTATTCTCCAAAGCATCTGAAGGCAGGACAAGAGGCAATGGATAATCAAAGAGAGAAGCAACCCAGAACTAAGGAGAAATTTCCTGACAGTTAGAACAATTAATCAGTGGAACAACCTGTCTCCAGAAGTTGTGAATGCTCCAACACTGGAAGTTTTTAACAAGAGATTGGACAACCATTTTACTGAAATGGTGTAGGGTTTCCTGTCTGAGCAGGGGATTGGTCCCTTCCAACTCTGTTATTCTATTCTATTAGGAAGAATTCAAATAAAAGCCTTGAACCAATTCCATAGTGAGACAGTGGGATTCTGTTCAGTGCATCTTCAAGCATACATACAACTTCTTTTTCCTTTAACACGGATTCACACACACACACAAAAAAAAAACTGTGGCTATAATGGTCCCTCCCAATCCTATGTTTCTATTAAAAACTGGGTGGATCTTGGTGCCACTTAGCAGAATGCCCATCCTTTTGAAAAAAATAAAATAACCAAAGACTTGTTTCACAAGCAGTTTTGAATTTCAGTTAAAGAACATAGTGATTTTGACCCTTAGCAAAAGAGTCAATAAACTGATTAGGACATGAATAGCAGTATTGCACAAGTTCCTTGATTCTCCCTTTGTTGAATCAAATAGCTAGGCTAAGAAAAAAAACAAATACGGTTCCTCTGTGAGAAATCAGGCATAATCATTTTCAAGAGAACCCCTTCTTATCTGCAAATTTATAGATTATTTATATAAAATATATTTGTCACTTCTCAATTTGAGTTGATGTTGGAAACTTTCCAGACTGAATCATATTATGAATTGAAAATTATGTTAGTTGAGGATGAAGGTTCGTTCTCTAAGCTTTTGGGTTGGTTTCCAAATGTTTCATTACCAGGCTAGGTAACATCTTCAGCAGAGTTTAGGGGATGTCAGTGTCAGTGCTTTTCTGTTTATAAGGGCTTCAGGTATGAGTGTGTCAAGTGAGGGTCTTGTGATGGGGCTTGTGATGGAGAGGTTACATCAGCTCAGGGTCATTGGGAGGTGAACTGCTGGTGGGGGGAGGGGTCTTGCATAGGTTGGTTGAGGGTTGGTGCTATCTCTGGTCGGCTGTGCTGTCACAGCACTGACCTTCAGCCAACCCACACAAGCCCCTTCCCCCCCCAGGTTCACCTCCCAATGCCCCTGTCCTGATGTAACCTCCCCATCACAAGCCTCTCACTGATGACTCACACCTGACCCATCACAAGACTTGACACACCCTTATAAACAAAAGAACACTGACATCCCCTAAACTTTGCTGAAAATGTTACCTAGCCTAGCCTGGTAACAAAACATTTGGAAATCAACCCACAAGCTCGGAGAACAGACCTTCACCCTCATCCTACACTACAGATATTTGCCATTATTGCAAATTATGTTAGTGTTTTGGATTGGCACATTTAAATTTCTTCCAAGTTTTATCTGACCATGGCACTATTTTGTTATTAAGGTTTAATTAGAATCAAAATGGATAGCCAAGCATATTTAACCAGAAACCTTTCATTGGTAGCAAGAATACCTTTGCTTATGAAGCATGTTCTTAATATATAGATATAAATATAAATATATAGACATAGATGTATTGGAACAATGAAACAGAAAGTCTTCTCCAAGTCCATCTTTATGCTTAGTCATACAAACATCCCTGAATGGTTTTATTTTTATTTTTAAGAAACATGGTGGAACTTTTAAGATGATGTATTGTTTCTTCTTCTCCTTCTCAATCTCCTCTTGTAGACTTTAGAACTGAATCTCAAATCCTAATAATTCCTGGGGATTATTGTCCAACCAGTTTTTTAATCTACAATGTTCTTACTAAAAATAGAAAAAGAATCCATGAGTTTTTTGGGGGGTTGCTTCTTTTGTAGAAACCATTCCAAACTCATTCATTGTCCCAATTAGTCTAATCCACTTCTTTCTTGTGTATGTGAGTGGGTGTGTAATCTGCATTTCAAATTCCAGAAAAACAACAATAAAAAGAAGAAGAAAATTGCAGTCTGAATGTCAGGTCACAATTGTATTTTACAAGTTTTTTGTCTTGGTTAGGAAGTAGAAATTATGCATATTTTCATGAGAATGAAGGAACCTTTTAAACATACTTACATTTGACAAATTAGGCAAGATGTTTAGTTTAATGATCCATATACAAAACTCCAATAGTAAAATGGGAGTGTAAAAGTTGTGAAGTTGTTCAAATATATGAGACACACTGAAGGGGGGAAAAATGATGCTGGGGAACATTCTCATCTAATGTCAGGATCAGCAAGTGGCTCTGCAAAGAAAATCTTGAGGCAGACCTTAAACCTCAAACACCTTTGCTTGAAAATCAGTTCTACCTAGATACATCTTTAGTGCTTTAGGGTCAAAATTAATTCTAGGAATGGTTCTTGTTTTTGTGTGTTTGAGTCAGTGTTGACTACTGGTGACTGCCTGGACAAGTCCATGCAGTCTTCTTGGCAAGATTTTGAAGTTGTTTGCCATTGGTTTCTTCCTGGGACTGAGAAAGAATGACTGATTCAAAGTCACCCAGTTGGGTGACTTTCCGTTTCTAGCCTAATGCCTTAACTTCTCATTCTGGGTCTCTAATTCTAGTTTACCAGTTTATAACTAAAGCTATCAAATTTTTGTCTTTGTAGAAAATCAAAACCTCTGGGAAATAAAAGTTATTATGTTTGTCTTCTACCTGTTCTAATTGCCTATCCAGCACAGTATTCAATGAATAATGTACAATGTGCTAATTTATGCAATTAGAAATAACTGCCTCATTCAAAGCAAGGCAAACAAAGACTGGGATTGCAAACTTCACTTTACATGATTAAAATCATCCTTTATTAAAGCATTATCCTAATTTAAGTAATCTGTTCTTGCATCCTGATCTCTACTTATCAGTGTGTATAGATAAAAGAGTATACCACTTCTTTAGCCATTGTGGCATGAATAGTTCATGGTAGGAAGAAAAAGAAAACCACAAAGGTAAAATTTGTTATGAGCTAAAATACAATGTCTTTATGATGGATGTGAAGAGCAATGTGATAAAACAGCTGGGATTTTTGAATAATAAGTAAGATTGACATCTCCAGATATTATTGGTGAAACACTTTTGAAACCAGAATGATTGTTGACATGAATTGTGGGAAAGTAATGCTGAGTTCATCCCCAAGAATAATCTAGGTTAGTCTTCTTTTCAAGAGCAATTGAAACTTGGCACATCTACAAGCAACTTATGTTGCCTGAAATAATTTAAGAAAAAAAAATAGTTGTATGCAAAATGTAGGCACACCTGGTTGAATTGAATATTTCAATGAAGCACTAAGTAAACAGAAGCTGACACCTCCTATACATGGTACACACACTTAAACATCTTTTTACAAAGGTTTGTATATAGTTATTATTCATATGCAGTTATATACAGATGTTCCAATACCTATGGAATAACAATTAAATTCACCCAAAGAAAGGAGTTTTTTTTTTTTTTTAATGTGGGAAAGATAGCTACCAAAGACAAAAAAATTAAAATGACCTATCAATGCACTGGGTGACTTGATCAGCAATATTTCAGGAGATTCCTACAATATCAGTTTAGAATAAGACTGGATCTTAGGAAAATCAGCCTGAATTGACAATTCGATTAGGGTCTGGCCAGGCATGTCTTATAGTTTATCTAGAAAGTGGCAAGGGAAATCTGAATCCATCATACATGGACCTAGGAATTATATAGTCCTTATTATATGAAGGTGTTTTCATTTATATTCAATTCTGGCTTTAGTCACTGATCAAAAAAGGCTAGATAACTGCCAATTCTTTCTCTTTGGATTGCCAAGTGAAACATGGCAAAACAACAGACGCAAATAACCACAAAACCTATATCTAATAAAAAAAAATCTTTGGAATTGCAAACAAAGCCACAACAGGACAGTGCTGAAGAAGTGAAGAATGTCTCATCATAACTGCCTAAATTGTTATAACAGAAATTTAGGTATTTTAAGAACATTTCTCTGGAGCTCTGCAAACAAATCAATGTCTCTCCTAAGTATGAAATTGACTGACCAAATCAGACTATTTTATCCATTATTCAGAAAGGCCAAGGCTTTGTCTTAGAGGAACAATGTCTCATAAATATTTCCCTCCCCCTGAATAACCCACAGTAGTAAATTACCTACAGGAAACTCTCATCTTCTGAAAATAGTTAGCAGTGATCAACCAGGAAGTTCTTGGGTAGCTTACGCTATGTGTTTCTGCAGCTTAGCATTTCTGTGGCTCTGTCTTCACATGTGCTAGAAGAAGAGCCTCCAGGGTAGGGTCTGAATCACTATAGCCAAATGATATCGGGTCCCGATACCATCACACTACTTTTGGTAGGGTGGAGCTGTGTCTGATTCTCTGATTGCTCCATCTCAATCCTCCTCCTAGTTTGAGGATGACTCTTCAGCCAAGGGCATAATATTAAAGGGAATATATGACTCTGAAGATATATGAAGTGGAAGACTTTCCCTGAAGCCTTCAGATCAGGGGTATCAAACTCGCAATGTCACGTGACATGTTGCAACATATTGTGATTTTTTTTCCATTGCTGGCAATGGGGTGGGCACGGTTTTGGCATGATGCATCCGGCCCGCAGACCGGCAGTTTGACAGCCCTGCTTCAGATGTTCCTGAAAAGAGAGTTGTCACCACCTTGCCCAATTGTCTTCAGGACTCCTCCTTATCACCAAGTTTTGAAGCTACATCAGACATGTAAAATAACAAACACCTCATTGTATTTGACTCAGACCAAATCACTGACATTTAATCGGAATTACTTTAGCAAGTCTGCTCACTCTGGAAGAAAGTTGCCTTTTTGTTATTGTGGTTAAAAAAAATGAAACAAGAAGAGCAGAAACAAAATTATCTTCTCCCCACAGTAGAGTTTTTAAAAGGTAATACAGGGTGTGGCAGGGAAGGTCTAACATGCTTTTCATAGAAATGAAGCAACTTAAATCTGTCCTTTTTGTGTATCTTGAAACTTTGGTTTCTTTTGAAAGCACTTCCTTTCTTTCTTCTTACAATTCCTTCCCTTTGCGTGTTGGCAAAAAGGCTTCCCTGCAGAGTGAGGGTGGAACACCTAATTAATTTGAAACTGATTCTGGCATTTTATAATGTTTTCTTTTAACTGAATTTTCATCTTGAGGGAATAAAATAATGAATCTTAAATTCCAGCACTGGAAAAGACCTCTGTTAACCTTAGCTTGCAGAGAATAGTAATAACTGCTTGAGCAGCTCCACTGAAGGGATTATGAAGATTCTCTTTCTTGTTAGACAACTTTTACTGGAAAATACACATGTGACATTTTATTTAAAGCCCGTGTCCTTGTTTCTCCCCAGGCATTATTCTTGGTTTCCATGAGTAACAAGAAAGTGTTACAGTACATATGTTAAGTCTGTGAATAGATCACCTGTCTTGCTGCAAGGATTGGATTTCATGGATAGGTAACAACCAATATAGCCTCAAGTCAGTCCAAAGATGATCCATTCTGGTTTGGACCTGGTTTGGAACAAGATTTAGGAAAACAAATTAAAATGCTAGCCCCATATTCATAGCTATATGGTTCTCTCTTTTCTTCTTGAATTGAAAAAATGGTTAAGGCCTAACCTATAAGATACTTTAAAAAAAAGAAATTGATTATGTATCAAGTTGGTGCTGATTGTTACTGACCGCATAGATTTTTTCAATCAATGATACTGATGGGTTACCCCCCTTTTTTTAAAATTTCCCCCTCCCTCTGTTTGCAGAACCTTTCTAAGGGAATTGATGAAATCCAAGCAAATATATCTACCACCTAATATGGAAAGTGTGCTCCAAATTGGCTTGAGATATTTATAAAGACTTTGTCAAAATGATTCAGGGCACAAAATTTTCCTCCCCCTTTTTCTTCCTTTAACTCTGTTGGCAAGTTAGCCATTGTCAGTTTTGGAGCCCACGAGAGCATTTGCTTTGGATAAGTGTTGACATTCATTCAGAATATTCTCTCAGGACTCATAGTCCAGTTCTGTTTATAGCAGTATCAGCAAGTTAGTGCATTTTTTTTTCAATACAGTTTTGTAAACAATGCCACTGGCAATAAAAATGAAGAAAAGATTCAATGAACCATTTGGCTAAACTGAAACCAGAGTTCCTGACAAGAAATTGTGTTCAAGATAGAATACAAGACAGAAAAGTAAAGAGTGATAGAGCTCTCCCACCATTATACCATTCACCATTATACCATTCACCATTCCCATTGTGAATAGGATAGGAATATCTGTCTTGATTTGCTTTGCCATTAAATTATATGGTTTTTTTCCTGACTGTCCATAACTGGTCCTATCATTGGAACAATGAGTAAAATATTCTAATACTGAGAGGCAGCCCTACTAAACACCTAGTTATTCTCATAAAATCTCCACCATTCTTCTCAGGTGTGATGAATGATGTTATCCTATTACCAATAATGGGCAATGGATGCTCTCTTGAACAGAATTAACAATGCAGGTGATGAGGCATAGAAGAGAATTCATTGGTTTGACATGATCCATATCGGATCCTGAAACTTGCTCATAGTTTTCTTAAATAGCACATGAAAATTAACATCTGAGCAATCTAAAATGCTGCGTGTAAAAAAGGATATAGATGGAAAATGGGGGAAGAGATACATAAACAAATAATATAAGGTAATTAACTCATAGGAACTGTATCAAAAAGACCAATGCTCAAAAAAGCTGAGGCTTATGAGATATCAAAAACAGCAAAAAAAGTCTAGCTTTTTAAAGGCCTTCTTTTTTGAGATAATCATGTTTTAAACAGGAAAGCCAAAAAAATAATAATAATAATAAGAAGAAAGTGATGCTAATGGCTGACGAAGAGAAACAGAATTTGTAAACTTCTCTTGCATCTCTTTTCGCCTTAGAGGGAAATGGAGTTCTAGCTGGTCATCCTTACATCAATGAGAGAAAGATGGAGACTTAGCTTGCAAGAAATGAGGAGAGGGTAGGGAAGAATTTAGCTAATCTAAAGGAATTTGAATCTCCACAATGAGCCATCGCATCAAAAAATATAAAGAAACTTGGGGAAGTGGTAATTGCAGAATCACTTTCAATACTCTTTGAGAAGTCCTGAAAGATTGTATGACTCCAGATTACTGAAGGATACTAAGGATCCTCCCCATTGTTAGTAAGGAGCAAAAGGAGAATCCAGGAAACAACAGATCTGCTAGCTTGGCATGTCTAATGGGCAAGGTCATTGAACAAATTATTAAAAATAGTAGAGAATGTATGTAGTTCAGAACGGAAATGTTGAGATCTTGATATTAGGTGAGATTGCTTTCCTTCTTACATGCTTTTTATTACCAAAGTAGATAACATTGTCAGTACATTGGTCCAAATGAGTGCAGTTTGATGGCTTTTTATATCTTGATAGGATTGAGCTAAAATGCATAGTATGAAGTTTAAAATGGAGAAATGATCACATATAAGAAAGAATGGATATACCTTTTACTGCCTCTCAAGAACTAATGGGTTCAAACTATAAGAACTAGGTTTAGTATAGCTGTTGGGAAACTCTTCCTTATTGAATGGCTATCAGCCAATAGAACAGGGTGCCATACAAATCTGTGAGTTTTCTTTTGCTGGAGAACTTCAGACTTCAAACAGAATCTTAATGTTTGTCAGAAATGAACTGATAGAACTTGCATTGAGCAGGAGGCTATATTAGATGACTTCTAAAGTTCCTTCCAATCCTGCAATTTGATGGCAATCTAACCATCTTTCATTTTATCTCAAACTGCAAAAACTCTTTTATTTTATTTTTATTACCTTTTATATCTTTTTAAAGGACTAATTGTTATTCTAATACAGGGATCTTCAAACTTGGCCCTTTTATGACTTGTGGACTTCAACTCCCAGAATTCCTCAGCCAGTGTGCCTGGCTGAGGAATTCTGGGAGTTGAAGTCCACAAGTCATAAAAGGGCCAGGTTTGAAGACCCCTATTCTAATACTATTTCTAACGAAAAAATAATTCTAGGGAAATTATCCAACAATTTCTCAAAAGCAGGATTCCCACTTAGCAGTGATAGTAGCACAGCTATTGAAAAAGTCAAGCCTTTCTTTGTGATTTAACAGAAGGGTAGGAAACAAAAAATCTGCAGACCAATGGAGGGAAATTTCTTCAAGGAAGACACAGCATCTTGCCCACTTCACAATTATAGTGAAAACAAAAATACTCACCAACCTATGAAAAGTTTTCCAATAGTCTCTTTCATCAAATTGAAGAAGTGCTAGAATGATAATGAAAAAAAAATCTATTCAGCATGTATCTACATGAAAAGCAACTATCTAGAATTCTATAGTTCCACCATATTGAGACACTTTCAGTTGTTGAATATCTGAAAGAGTTTGAAGAGAGATTGCCAGACATGGCCTCAAGAATCATACCTGTTGGACACTTGGTAAGGCTGCTACCTCAGCTAGATGTTAAGAAGTTAAGAATTCTTGTTCCTCCTATTGAATGAACAGTAACCTGAATGAACAGTAACCTCCCACTCAGTTGGAGATATAGTGAATATGAGGGTGGGAGAAATAAATGCAATATTGGAGAAGTGAGTGCACATTTTCATGGAAGCCACTGGGATGAATTTATCTAAAGGGCTTCTCTCAAAAATTTTCACTGTAAATTATATACAACAAAGTGATTTTACCCATATGTTTATATATTTAATTAATCAAAAGGCAAAAAAAAAATCATAAATCAATAATCAGGATTATTTCCTGGAAAACAATCTAGACAAGATAGTGCTAATATATCTGGGTTGCAAAAACTCATATAACCACTAGCTGGTGGAAAAAATCCCGAGCTTTAGATATTTCTTAGAGGCCATCTATCAATAATATGAATTTCTGCAGCTTAAAATGTCATAATAGACCTTTCCTTCCTTCCTTCCTTCCTTCCTTCCTTCCTTCCTTCCTTCCTTCCTTCCTTCCTTCCTTCCTTCCTTCCTTCCTTCCTTCCTTCCTTCTTTTCTTCCTTCCTTCCTTCCTTCCTTCCTTCCTTCCTTCCTTCCTTCCTTCCTTCCTTCCTTCCTTCCTTCCTTCCCACCCACTAAAAATTAAAGCTTTGGTTTCAGGCAGTACTTATAAACTGTTCCTGTGGAGCAATGATAGCTAAAGAGAAGGAGAAATCATATTAAGAGATTGATTTAAACATCTATGACATGCATTCATCAGGAAAATTCATAATATACACAGTTTAAAGCCCGATTGAAAGTATCAATTTCTCTTTTGGCATACAAGACATCAGAAAAGTCATAAATGTTTAGGGCACCAAATTCATATCTTGAAGATAGAGTGACAATAATTTCTGTGATTACCCTTGGAAAGGAAAAGAAAATCCATTATCTGTAGCTGCTGAATAATTTTTATTCCTCCTAGATAAACAATTATATATCAATAATTCCTCTGTCTGAGGGGAAAAAACAGGGTGATTTTGTTGGGTTTTTTGTTGTTGTTTTGTTTTGTTTGCAAAGATCTGCCAAAGATCTAAATCTGTAGCAGAACACATTCCCAGTTTTTAATCAAGGGGAGTAATGCTTGAGATTGAGATTACTATAATGATTAATAACTCTGATTCATGAATCTGACTATATGCCTGCATTTTGAATTTCTGTAACAATTTTTTGCTGTGGGACTTACTTAGGAAGAACCTTGCAAAAAGCTGAATGACAAAGCTACTTTGATAAACCTGTTAATGCATGAATGAAATCTCACCACTAATAATACTCCTGTACCTTTAGACAATTATCCAGTGCAGGTTCCCATGTTATAAGAATGTTAATGAATGTTCACTTCTTTATTAGTATTACGCCATTTCTCTACAAATAGAAAATCCCATTCTATTTAAATTCTAGTAAGTAATGACCAAAGATATTAACAAGAAACAAACCAAGACATAGTCCTCATGGAGCCTTAATAATTGCAGGACTCACCAAAGTGACAAATCTAATAGGGTGTTCAGTGTGTATATTCCTTGGTTCCTAAATAAAGCTAAAGAGGTATGCTCCTTAAGGGGATTTGCTGCTGTACAAAGGCAATTTCCAAGTACCTTTGTACTGCTCCCAAGTATGTCTCAATCTGTTTTTCGACTTCACAGTTATCTTTTGCTTTGAATTTCTTGAGTCTATTTTTTTTTTCTAAGACAAGTAGTTTGCCAATTCACAACACAACTGGATTCAGTCGGTTTGCTTGGGCATTCTCCTAAGACAGAAAGAATCTCAATTAGTATTGTTGCCCCTCAGTGCAGGGAGACTCTTTGCCAATATATTTGTGTTGTATAAATTTTAGCATAATTGGAACCCACTTTAATCAGAATGTGTGGGTATGTGTGAGTGCTTGGGCTGATAATTTGTGTCATGCACTCTGGACCTGTGAGCACAGAATACAGTAGCTTAATTATAAGTCTACAGTTATGCAAGGTGGGGAGATGAGGTTGAATGTGTGACTTGGAAAATGGTTTAAAGGTTGTATATTTTTTTTCCTGTAAGAAAGGCACATTCTTGATACTACTTAAAAACCTACCACAAGCACCCATATCAGAGATAAAAGGAATGTTAAAGAAGCAATTCTTCTTTAGGTTTTTTTTCAAGGAGGGGGGGGGAATCTCCTTGATATTCCAGTTTCTGACATGGACTTTAAAACAGATTTAGCAAACATTTGAAAAGCAGTGAGTTAGAAATCAATTTGATGATCTCTCCAGTACTCAGTACTGGAGTTTCCAAAAGTAAAAAAAAAAAAAAATTGCACACATCTATTTACTACTAAAACTCTCAATGTCATGACTTCCAGCTGGGTGAAACCGTGTATCAAAAGGCAAACATTTTTGAACCCAGGTACCCTGAATGTTTTAACTGGAAGAATGCATCCAGAATCTAAGATCCATGAGTCCCCAGGGAATGAAATTTGATAGCGTGGATGATTCAGTGCTACTGGCTTCTGCTGTATTGCTGCTGTGGTCATATGATCTTCACTTTCACTGTTCAGTGCCACTTACCTGCCTACTGGCAAGGAACTGGGAAGGAAAGGGAGGGAAAGTTTCCAATGCTCCCTATCAGTTTTCCACAAGGAAACTCAATGGATAAATAACTCCTGCCCCCCCCCCACTTTCTGCCTTGGTCCCTTCTGTTTATTTGTTTGGATTCAGGGATACCACTGAAATGATGACTCAACACTGACCCAGGCCATCTAGTCCTTCATAAAATCTAGCAGTATTTCCATCCAAAATCTGATGCCACTAATATGCATGTCCATGTTTTCAATAAACAACTGGCTAATTAAACAGTCTGAAGGAGGGAACCGGGAACCACATCTCACGGACCTCCCTGACACATTGTGACAAAACAATTGACAGGTAATTAATGACTGGATAAGCATCTCTGGGTGGTGGGTGGGCCTGCTTTGATCATTGGCAACTAACTTAGGAGCAAGATTTCAACATGGAGCAGCAACCAGGCTACACAAATAACCCGTTTCCTTTCCTTCGTCCTCCCTTGCTTTGTGAATCAGACTTAGATTAAAAAAAAAAAAAGGAGCTTCAAGGTGTTCCGTTGGGTTGTGTTTTGGTTGGGAAAGAGGGCAGGGGTAAGCAAATGAGGAGGAGAAATAATTGGAAGGAGGAAGAGGAGGAGGGGTTGAGTTTTCCTAAGGTGGAGCTGCAGCTTGTATGAACTATCCCTGGCAGATTAAAACCCTGTGATGGGGAAGGGCTTAAAGGCTGAGTCAAAAGGCAAGAAGTCTTTCTTATTGGCGTCTATCCCCTGGCCTCTGGCAAGCTGACTAACAACAAACCCAGCTAACGAGAAAGACCAGAGGGGAAGAGGAAGGCGGTCATCGCTTGGGGCCGCTTGGATCATTTAAAAAAAGAGGAAAAAAAAGGCAGGAAAAAAAGCCCCCGCGCTCAGCTTCTAGGTCCTGCTGAGAGCCTGTTAGCATTTTCTGCACCCCGAAAGCCCGCAAACGGTTAACTGGCATGCAGAAAGTCAGCCGAGCTGGGAAGTCTGCTGTGCATGTTAATTGAGGCGAAGGGATAACTGTTTACAGGATGGTCTAGTGGCTGCCCTTCCTCCCCCCCAGTGCCTCTCGCTGGGATGGTTGGCGTTGCCGCCTTTGGACCGAGGATTTTCACTTCCCGGGACCAGAGCTACTACGCTTAGGAAGCAAAGGGAAGGGAAAGCAAAGTCCGCCTTTCTGGAGAAGGGGAAGGGATTTCTGTCGGAACGGCTGATCCTGTGCCATAACCGACTTTGTCAGTGGGTGTAGCTGCTGTGCAGGTAAGGACGCCTTCGCTCTCCAGCGATTCACTAAGGAAACCACGTTTCTTGGGGGGGGGGGTTGCGATCACCTTAGGGACGGATCCCTGTTCTTCCCCCCCCCCCGCCCCAGCCCAAGCTTATTCCTGGCCGGTAACTAAGAGCAGAACCAACCTTTGCAGAGCGAGGTCTTCGGGGTCCCTCGTTTGGAAGGGAGTGGTGGTGTCCTGCATGGATGAAGAAGTGCCGGAGCATTTAAAGTAGAAAGGAAGCCTAACCTTGGAAGACAAGCGTTGGAGATGACGCTGGTGGAAAAGGGAGAGTTTGAAAAGAAATGCTACAGCCGGCTACGGTTAACTGTAGAGCTGGGCAGATGAACGCGGGACTTGCGAGGTAGATTCAACAACCGTTCGTTAGGCGAAACTTTGGGCTCCGGGGGGGGGGGGATCTGCTAGCTAGATTGTTAATAATGACCTCCCTCTAAGGGAATCTAGAGGAGAATCTGGCTTTGGAGCTAATTTGATGGTCTTGTGAAGGTTTTGTTTTCTCGTTGTTTGGAACAGATGGGTTTATTAGCCCTTCACGTGAAGAGGAATGTTGCTGTAGGTGCAACATTTGTGCAAAATCGACTCCAGGTCGGGGAAACTCCTCCTGATCGCTAGATTTCCCTCAAACTGGGTTTCCTCTCCTTTCATGCTTGAAATGGAACCGCTTATTTCAGGCAATTTGGGGAAGTATTGCTTCAATTAAAATACAAATCAGCCAGTTATGAGTCACATTTCTGTAACCTGAAACGTTAATTAAATTAATTGATGTCACTTGGCATGCCTTCTGCTCGGTACATTTATAATATGAGTTAGCTACTGTGATGGTTACAAAGATCTATGGTTGGTGAGGGGAAAAGTATTAAAAAGAAACAATTGCATGCCACACACTTATTTCATGTACAGTTGTATCATGTACAGTGGCTCTGGAAGACTGGGGTGAACTCAAAGAGTAGAAAGATTATTTTTTTTTTTAAAAAAAAAAACTGAGTAATGCTTTTCATAAGCTCTAAGCCTTTTTCTGCAGAGAAACAAACTATATGAATAAAAAGACTGATGGATTTGCAGAATGCTAAAAAAAACCTGGCAATAGTTAACATGGGAATGCTTTCCATTTGAGGAAAAAACGAGGACAGAAAACTTTCATCCTCCAAAATACATATGCAAAGCGATCTTCAGTGCAACATGCAACCCAAACTGATTTACTTATCTTAATTCTACCCAAGGATATCATACCATGCTTATGATGTTCTCTTTCCCTGTTAGAAGAGGAGATAAATAATACATGAAGAAATGAGCCAAATATTTTGATGCAGATAAGAGTATTGGTCAAATTAGGGTGTCAAATACAAATCTTGGGTGCTGCAAGTCAATACTTTGTTTCTAGGAGTGGTAGGAAGCAAGGTACTTTGAATGCCTGGATTTGCATGCTGTGTCTTGCTCATCATCTGAGATGGTGGGGTTGGTGGAAGGGACTCAAGCAGAACTATTTATAGTCTAGAGATATTAAACCAAGATATTCCTTTGTCTCACAAAGTATCATATATTTGTATGTATGTGAATTCTTGTGTGAACAAAAATAGATAAAAAAAGATTAGAAAACTAAGAAATATATTTAGAAAGACTGAAATTATAATACTGTAGATATTTACCTAGGGGTAAGCTCTGTTAATCTCCTTGAGACTTGTACTGCTTAGCCATCAATATGCCTGTAAAATATTCCAATAGAAAGGAATATACAGTATGTGGAACAGTGGAGTCCTTGGTTTTCTCTGTGCTTGGTTGTTTGCCTGCAGATGTTCCATCACCCAACTAAGAAACATTATCATTAATACTGTTGATGTTATGTAGTTGAGTAATGAAACTTCTGCAAGCAAACAACTGAGCTCAGAGGGCACCAAGGATTCCAGATGTTTAAATTGCCCCAGAGAGGGCCATTGATAACTGGAGAAACAATTTAATTCAGACCTGTTTAGTTTTGCTAAATTATCCGTATATCCTCAGGAAGAAAATTTAAATTTAAAACAAACTTTCAAAGTTACTTCAGATGAGCAGTCTAATGATAGGTGCTTATTCAGAAGACCTACTAGATTTCACACAACATACTCGAAGTAAATGTGTGAAGACTACAGCCAATATACACTAAGGGTATCTTAGTTGAACTAGGATGTATCTAATCTAGAACGTTGTCTCCTGTCACAACTAACAAACCAAATGCCTCTGGAAAGCCCCCAAAGTCCTAAAGCTAATTTGCTCTTTCTCCACCACTGTTTAGTTGTGTGGCTTTCCATAACCTTCACTGCAGCTGGATGAAACATTTGCTGCAAATCATCTTGATTGAGTAAACTCAATGTACTGCAAAAGATTTTGTGATGTTTACATAGAAGACGCATTTTCTAAATGTGTGAGCCTATGAGATCAGGCACGTGCTTCTGGTGAACTGAAAGATGAACAATTACATTTTCACATAACATTCCTTTCCAACTAGTTACATGCCAAATCATTTTCTTAAGTGAGATGGACTATGTTAAAACAGTCATTCTTAGTTGCTTCTAATAAACTAAATTCCTTGACTTCAACAGCAACTTTCCAAACAGAAGATGGTCACAACCTGGTAGTTATCCACACTGAATTCATTGGAAACTATTCCAAGAAAGAGTGTCTTAAGCACACTGTTTACTATTGTAGTAGAGTAGCTTTTTTTGCTTGCTTTGTAGTAAAGAATTGACCTCCCCTTGCCTCAAAATAAATAACTAAATAAACATGTCCAAATTAATCTTTTTTTCTAACTTAGCAATTTTTCCCTTTGAAAATTTGCCTTAATAAATTGCTGCTACAAAACAATGGGAGATGCTCAGCAAACACATTGGATAAAAGAAAACCAATGTTTGCAACCTTGAATTATTCTGCACATTTAAAAGTGTAAATTTAAGAAGATGCATCTTTTACTAATTTTCATTGCTGAAACTAGGGTCTTATAAATAAGATTAGCCAAAATACCACAGCAGTTTCATCCCATGTACACAGTAGATTGAAGTTAATGACACTGTTGGCAATGCTTCACGTGTCCCTTTGCACGTTTCTTTTTTGTCTGTGGAGATTCTCAGTCATCCAAGTCATGATTGTCCCAAAGATGCTTTTTCAAGAGGCAATTGGACTTTGTTTTTCTTTGAAGACGTTTAGCTTCTTATCCAAGAAGTTTCTTTAACTCTGATTGGTTGGTAGGGAATGAAAGGATTTATATTCCTTGCAGACAGCTGGTTATTTGCATTCTTTTAGAGAGTCACTGAGGCCACTTGGAGATTTATCAGTCTCATCAAGGTCACCTGAGTGGTGCAAATGGGTGTGGAGCCTTCTTGGAACTGCTGAAAGGATTGTGGTGTAGACTGGGGATAGATGATGTTTTATCCCTCTCCCTCTATTAAGAGAGGGCTGTTTCTTTTCTGTCTATTTTCTATTTTTCACTCTTTATTACTTCCTTTAGATTTTTGGTCATAGTAGACATAGAGATATTTTTTTGTTTTTTAATATTACTTTCAAAGTTTTACAAGGGCATCCTGCAAGTCAGTAGTATGCATACAGTAGTTCACTGACTTATGATGGGGACTAGTTAAATAAATTGATGCAACCTAAGGTGCATGATGGATTTATGACTGGGAATTCAAAGCAATTCAGTTCTGCGGCTGAATTGCAAAATTAACAGTGGGCTGTGTTGTACAACTATTAGTTATTCTCTCTCCATCTGTTTCTCTCTCTCTGTTACTTCACTGTCTCTTTGTATTTGGGATAAAACAAACAAACAAAAAACCCTGTATTACCATTTTGTAATACTTGCTTGAAGACCAACCTCCAGCATCAAAATAGAAAAAAAAAGTAGATAGTATTTAAAAAAAAAACATGTCAATCTATCCTCCAACCTAAGAAGGAGATGAAATATGTCTAGAAAAAGTATTTGAGTCTCTGGGTAGGTGTTGACTCCTGGTGAGCCCCCTGGATAAGATCCTGCAGTTTTCTTGAGAAGATTTATTTGCCATTACTTGATTATTAGGGCTGAGAAAGAGGGATGGCCCAAGGTTAACCCAGATGTCTTTGTGCTTAAGGAGGGACTAGAACTCAGGGTCTCCGGTTTCTAGCCTGATGGCTTAACCACTACACCAAACTGAGTCTTGTGTCAACTCCCGGTCTCTGGACCGACACTTGTTTGCAAGTGGGCCGCACAAACAAGCAAAGCTCCATCCTTGGGATGCAGGCAGTATTCAAAACCACAACCCCTCTGGTCCACAAAAAAAAACTTTCTCCATGGCACTGGTCCCTGGTGCCCAAAACCCTGGTCTAGAGTTTAAGATAACCAACTGAGAGACTGATATGTAGCATGCATTTTGAACTACACTGCAAGGTTGCTATAACCATTTCCTTCTAATATGAATTATTAAGAAAAAAATCATTTCTTATTGAACTTAATTCAAGAGAGCTATTTGAAATATGTTTCCCATTAAATAAGGGTACCCAAAGGTACACAAGCCAATTTTTGGTGTTCAGGGAGAATATGATGGTCTGTGTCAGGTGAAAGCAAAGAGGAACCACTTGTAAAAAGTCTCAAACAGAAGCTTGAGTGATCTGTGTTACAAAAACTCTGCCAGACTGATTATATTTTCTTGTGAATGATCAGATAAGGGTTCAAAGATTCTGGGGGAGCTCAGATTAGTGCTGCTTTCTGCAGTGCAAAAACTCTAAAATTGACCTGTCAACTCCTCCCTCCAATCTAGCTGGAGATTCCGCCAAAAGATTGGACATACTGGGGAGCCCACAACACCATCTACATTACAATCATTGGTTTCTCCATTGATTTCCATGGATAGTTCTCTTTGCTATCCCAGATCATTTTTTTAAAAAACAAACAGTTTCTTAGTGACCTGATGGTCGTTTGTTTTTAATCACAAAGCATGTCCCTTACCCAGGCATTTCTCTTTAATTTTAGTATAGGTGCCTTATCCTCTGCTTTCCTTCTCTATCTTTTTACAATTGGCAACCTTTGTTCAGTGGCATTTGGAGCTGGGACTGCTTTGATCATACTTTTCTCATTAGGAGCCATTTCACAGTCAATTTGGCAGGTTCATCTTTCTTTTCCCTTCGATTTGGTTGTCAATATACTCAACAATCTATCAATACTAAGCATGTCCTGTCCTTCTTGAGCTATTATCCCCACATACATAGAACATGCATTTAGCCCTTAGGTTATCTTTCACATAGAGGTTTTCTTATGCTTCTATAACCAGTGGGTTTCCCCCCACCCCCTATTCTTGGTAGCAACTTCATTACATAAGAATTTATTCTCAGTCCTGAACTCTGCAAATGATATACCTTGGATGAAAAAAAAAATGTAATTCAGTTTAGGCTTACCAAGAAATATATTCCATTGAATTTGAGATGTATAGGCCTACAAAATAGTGCTATGGAATATATTGATGTTTGCACCTTTTTGCCTTTGGAGGTCCTGGTTTTAAATAACCATGATAATACTAGCAAGGAGCTCTAATTAGCATTGCTTGCTATAGAGTAAACACTTCCTATAGTTGCAGAATGAAGCACAATGACTAAATGATGCCATGTACATATAACTAGTTCTTCAAATTAAGTTAACTAACTCATGTCTTTGTTTTCTTCAATCATCTGTAGCAGGAAATCTAGATAGACCATATTTCTACTCAACATGTAATGGATAACACATTTTTTTTTTTTACCAGAAAAGCAATAAATAGATTTTCTTCCAATACTGCTCATAGAAATATGAGGCTATGCTAGTAAACAATCAAGTGGAATTTTCTTGCCCCTAGATCAGTGGTTCTCAACCTGTGGGTCGGGACCCCATTTGGGGTCGAACGACCATTTCACGAGGGTCGCCAAACAACGCAATCCGCCATTTTTTCCCCCTTTTCCTTAGCTGTGCTACTCCCTTTTATTCTATTGGCTTTTGAAAGCCAGTAGAATAGACTCTCTTGAATAGAGTCTAATTCTATTGGCTTTCAAAAGCCAATAGGAATTGTCCAGGCTGTCTCTGCCCTGCTGAGCCCACCAAAAGTCCCATTCTGCAAACGGTGCTGCACCAGTTGAATAGTTCTCGACTTACGACCGGTTGAGTAGTCCTCGACATACGACCAGTTGGGGGTCGCAGCATTAAAAAGGTTGAGAACCACTGCCCTAGATCCTTCCTTCCTTCCTTCCTTCCTTCCTTCCTTCCTTCCTTCCTTCCTTCCTTCCTTTGCATGTTATGCCAAAAAGATGCCTGAAAGAATAGTAACAGTAAAAATGTTTCTTTGAAGGAGGACAAAATCAACATTTTATTTAGAAGTATTTTTCTGAGCAATCCTTGGTGCTCTCTGAACTTCACTTGAAGACATTTCATTACCCAAACTAGGTAACGTAGGTTGAGTAATGAAACATCTGCAAGAAAACAACCAAGCTCAGAGAGCACCATGGCTCCATCATTTAAACTCTGAGCTACTAATATTCTCCTTAATAAGTACTTTTCTCTCCAGTTTTTGTTTTATTTGGTTGTTGTTTCTTCTTTGCCTCAGCTTTTCTACTACACCTTTGATTGTATACCATTGCTAAATTTTATATAATCATTTTCATGGATGATATTCTTTGGAACAGTGTTCTTATCCTTCCTATTTATACCAATACCCTAACCTTGAGTATGTAACTTAGCATTTTATAAGTAGCACCCCCTGTTATTGTTTCTTAATGGTGAGAATAACTTTCTTTTATTCCACAAAGGTGAAGGGTTTCTTAGCTTGATCTTCTAGTGCAGGAGTGTCAAACTTCCCGCCTGCAGGCTGGATGCGTCACATGGAAGCTGCACCCACCCCATTGCTGGCAATGGCAAAACTGTCCCGATATGTTGTGTGACATCATGTGACATCGCGAGTTTGACATGTCTGTCCTAGTGGCTTAGAATATGCTCACAATATTAAGGAAGGGTTTTTAAAAAAGGCATTTAGAAGTGTAACAAAATGAAATTCAATGGTGAAAAAAGTAAGGTTCTACATTTAGTCAAGAAAAACTAAATGCATAGGTATAGTATAGGTGGTACCTTGCTCCATAGTAACAATTGTGAAAGTGATTGGAGTCCTAGTGGAAAATCACTTAAATATGAGCCAGCAGTGTGCAGCAGCTGCCAAAAAGGCCAACACTGTGCTAGGCTGCACTAACAGAGGGATAGAATCAAGATCACGTGAAGTGTTAATACCACTTTACAATGCCTTGGTAAGGCCACACTTGGAATACTGCATCCAATTTTGGTCACCACAATGTAAAAAAGATGTTGAGACTCTAGAAAGAATACAGAGAAGAGCAACAAGGATGATTAGGGGACTGGAGGCTAAAACATACAAGGAAAGATTGCTGGAATTGGGTATGTCCAGTTTAATGAAGAAAAAGGATGAGGGGTGACATGATAGCAGTGTTCCAATATCTCAGAGGTTGCCACAAAGAAGAGGGAGTCAAGCTATTCTCCAAAGCACCTGAAGGCAGGGCAAGAAGCAATGGATGGAAACTAACTAAAGAGAGAAGCAACCTAGAACTAAAGAGAAATTTTCTGACAGTTAGAACAATTAATCAGTGGAACAGCCTGCCTCCAGAAGCTGTGAATGCTCCAACTCTGGAAGTTTTTAAGAAGAGACTGGATAGCCATTTGTCTGAAGTGGTATAGGGTTTCCTGCCTGAGAGGGGGTTGGACTAGATTACCTCCAATGTCCCTACCAGCTTTATTATTATTATTATTATTATTATTATTATTATTATTATTATTATTATTATTATTATCAACATCAACATCATCATCATCATCTTTGAATTCTTTCTTCCCCATAGTTATTCTTTACTCTGAGTACGTGTAACCTCAAATTTAAAGTTATTTAAATCACAGATGAGCAATCTGCCACCCAAAAGTCACACTAGGTTCTCTAACTTCATTTTTGTGAATCCCTGAAGCACCTCTAAAAATCACATTACAACCAGTTTGGTATAATGGTTAAGGTGCTGACCTAGAAACCAGGGGACTATGAGTTTTAATCTCTTCTTAGACATGAAAGACAACTGGGTAACTTTGAGCTAGTTGTTGTTAAGGGGAAAATAGGAGAAGGAAGGACTATTAGGTATATTCTTCATCTTGAATTATTTGTAAAAAAATAATGAAGATGGGAAAATTAATTAATTCAGTAAAATCCAAGCCATCCCTCATTCTCTCTATGAAATCCAGGCATTTCAGATCTGTTGCTGAAATAATTCTGCATGGCAATCTCAATTGCTTATGTTCCATGTTGCTCCAGCTGTTCTTGTATCTGACCCTGGTCCTGAGTGTAGTGATATTACAGTGAGGCGTGCTTGGTATTCAATCCAGGCTATAATCACCACTGTCTTTGACTGGTCATTCAGTTTCTTCCCTTCTGAATGTCCTGGGGAAGGCAAATCTCACTGGCTGCACCCCACCACCACTGCACATTGACCATCTCCTGCTTATTCCTTTTAGAGGTAATTTCTTTTCTTTCTCCAGATGTCTGCACAGCTGGATACCTTTATGCCCCCTTCTCACATTCTCTCACTTGACACTAATGAACATCCTGGCTCCCTACCACTATGTTGTATTGTACTATGTTACCTTGATGCTATATTGATTAAAATAAAGGGAACATAGCCCCTTACTCATTTGTTCTACTATGGTCTATAAAAACATTGTGGAAGCAAAAAAGTGATGGTTAACTTCATAAAATGTGGACTTTGTAGCTTCATTCTTTTGTTTGTATGCTGATCCTTAGGTTAGTATGATTCATTCAGGCAGGTAGAAATTGAAAAGGTGAATCCTGGGCAAACAGATGCATACTAGTAAAAGAGAGAGGGAATACATGGTACTCAGGAGACTTGACTGGATTCTATGACTCCTTTAAACTATTATTAGATCAACTAGGAAAAGCAAAAACTAACCAGCTGTGAACATAGCATCCTAGTAGCCTCAATGAAATGCCATACATGGTAGTCACCAACAACCATGGGAGCAGATATGTCATGTGCTGGGTCTAATTCGAGCTGGAGAGGACTTTAATCTGGAATGAAGCATAGGAAACCAATCACTTGGAAGAATTTAACATAGCCCAATGATGGAAAGCAGGCCCTTTGAAGCAGCACTTCAAAACACAGATAAGAGAAACCTTTACAGTGAGCTGGAAGTGGGTAGTAGATTATGTCACCCATTGCAGTGATGGAAAAATACAAAAGGGTAGGCCATACCAGTGATGGAGATGAATAAAATATGGATCTGATCACTGCCATTTTTTGTCTCCTCTGCTTTCAGAAAATTAAAACAAAAACACCTGAAGACAGCCTCAAGATTACTTTCCCAATAAAAATCATCACACCATCATGATTATGGGAATACAGCGGAATTTGTTTTTCTTTTTATTTCTTAAAATAATGTGTGTACATAAGTGGGAATGTATAAATTGGCTGACCATTTCTTTCCTATAAATTATCATACTATTTTTCAAAGACATAAAACAAATATGTTATTTTGACATGCATCAGGCCTATGTCATCTTAGATATTGTTGCTAGGTTCTGGATTGTTATTTCAGAGGAAGTTAGACTTGAGATTTTATTTGGAGTGTGGGTGTGGGTCCAGCCTTTTGTACTGAAAAGTATTTAACCTCCAAGCCCCTCACACAAGATTGGGTGAAAAGCAATTACCCCAGTTCAAGAGAAGAAAATGACTTCCCCAATGTGGAGTAAGCCACAGTTCTAGCACAACCTTTCTCTCTTTCAAGGATAAACTAAATTATCTTGGAAATTAGAAGCAGTGCATGACCTAATAGTTTTCGGTTTTTAGACTAGACAGTTACTGTAATATTTCAGTAGATTAGAGTGACTTTTTAGTAGCTGGTTTATGTATATTAAAACATACTAATAGTTTTTTTTTCTCACCAAAGTTGAAGGAAACACTAAAATGTGTTTAATTTATTATACTTTGCAGACGCTGTTGGATTACCATGAAGGTCTGGATAATCGCATTAAGTTTAATGGGGGTTGCTTGTGATGTGCTATATTCTGAACTAGCATCCTCTTCAACTATTGGCTCTTGTGAAAACTTATGTTTTTGTGAAGAAAAAGACAGCATCTTAATCATAAACTGTGAAGAAAGAGGCATCAAAGAGATATCTCGAGTACATGTTCCACCATCCCGGCCTTTCCAACTTAGTCTTTTAAACAACAGTTTGACTATGCTACAGGTCAATGATTTTGCCAGCTTTATCAATGCTGTCACATTGCATCTTGGATTTAACTATATTGTGGATATTGAACCAGGGGCATTTAATGGGCTAAGTCACCTTAAACAACTCCATATCAACCACAATTATTTAGAAATACTTAAGGAAGACACTTTTCATGGGCTAGAAAGCCTGGAATTCCTTCAAGCAGACAACAATTTCATCACAATAATTGAACCAAGTGCCTTCAGCAAGCTCAACAGGCTTAAGGTGCTTATTTTAAATGACAATGCCATTGAATTTCTTCCTCCCAACGTCTTTCGCTTTGTTCCATTAACTCACCTGGATCTTCGAGGGAACCAACTGCAAACATTACCTTATGTTGGTTTTTTAGAACACATTGGCCGAATTCTAGACCTCCAGCTAGAAGACAACAAATGGATCTGTAATTGCGACCTACTGGAGTTAAAGAGTTGGTTAGAAAACATGCCTCCTCAGTCCATAATAGGAGATGTTGTGTGCCACAACCCTCCCATTTTGAAAGGTAACATACTAAGCAGATTAAAAACAGAATCGCTCTGTCCAACTCCACCCCCAAATGACCTTGATTCTCCATCAGGGTCATTGCCTTTGGTGATTACAACATCAATAAGCGATAGTCATTCCTCAGCCAAAGTGATACCTATTTTTAAAACTCCCACAAAGGAATCCAGTTTAACACCTCATGTTACAAAACCAGCTACTCTGCTTCCTGGAGTATATTGTCCTATACCTTGTCAGTGCACAAGCAATATCCTTTCAGGGATATTGATGCAGTGTCAGGAACAAAATATTGAAAGCTTGTCAGATTTAGGTTCTCCCCCTCCCAATCCTATAAAGTTGATTCTTGCAGGAAATATAATCCAAACATTACTGAAATCAGATCTTGTGGGTTATGACAGTCTAGAAATGCTTCATTTGGGAAACAATCGTATTGAAATATTAGAAGCAGGATCCTTTATAAATCTCACTGAATTGCAAAAATTATATCTCAATGGCAACCATCTCACTAAACTAAGTCGAAATTTGTTTTTAGGCCTGCAACGCCTTGAGTATTTGTACCTTGAATATAATGCCATCAAGGAGATTTTACCTGGTACTTTTAGTCCAATGCCAAAACTTAAGGTCCTATACCTAAATAATAATCTCCTCCAAACTTTGCCATCTCATATCTTTTCTGGAGTTCCACTAGCCAGGCTGAATTTGAAAACCAACCAGTTTGCCCAATTGCCCATAAAAAATGTCTTAGATGATCTAGATCTACTAGTACAAATTGAATTGGAAGACAACCCCTGGGATTGTACTTGTGATTCTGTTGGGCTACAACAATGGATACAAAAACTGAATAGGAATACAATGATGGGAGAAATTATCTGTACTTCTCCAAGACATCTAGCTAAAAAGGAACTGAAATCTCTGAACAGTGATATGTTATGTCCCACTTTAATGAACAGTCCAGCTATCCCAACTCATCCTAGCTTCCTAATCATCACAACATCACCAACTACCACCAGTACAGCAGATACTATTCTGAAATCGCTCACCGATGTTATCCCTCTCTCTGTTTTAATCCTGGGGCTCTTGGTTGTGTTTATAACAATGATTTTTTGTGCAGCTGGCATTGTTGTTCTTGTTCTACATCGGCGGAGGCGGCACAAAAAGAAACAAATGGAAGAGCAGGTACGGGACAACAATCCAGTTCAGCTTCAATACAGCATGTATGGTCATAAAACCACACACCATACCACTGAACGGCCAGCTTCAATTTTGTATGAACAGCGCATGGTCAGTCCCATAGTCCAAGTTTATCAAAGCCCACCTTTCAACTCCAAATTTGCAGATCATCGAGATGAAAGGAATGATAAGGAGGGGAATGATTCCAAACACCTTCGGCGAAGTCTCTTAGAAAGGGAGCACTCCTCTCCTCTCACTGGTGGTCCAAATGTCAAGTACAAGGCTACAGACCAATCAGCTGATTTTCTCTCCTTCCAGGATGCAAGCTCGTTGTATAGGAATATACTAGAGAAGGAGCGAGAACTCCAACAATTGGGGATAACGGAATATCTTCGGAAAAGCATTGCTCAGCTACATCCTGAGATGGAAGTACATTATCCAAGAGCTCACGAAGAACTAAAGCTGATGGAGACACTTATGCTGTCCCGGCCGAGAAAGGTTTTACTAGAACAGACTAAAAATGAATATTTTGAGCTCAAGGCCAACTTGCATGCTGAACCTGACTACTTGGAGGTTTTGGAACAGCACACATGAAACAAAACACCACCTTTGAAGGCTTTGAATCAGAAACTCTTAGGTTTGTCTTACATTTGGAACTTTGTAAATAAAAGTGCCTTATAATAATGTGTCACCAATCAGAACTTTAAGCACAGCAGTAATCTGAGTGAAAAGAATCTCTCAGGGATAACTGTGTGAAGCCATGGGAAAGTTTTCAGACTATGTATCTCTTACCCCCATATTAAATGTGAACTCTGTACAACTGGATTCTGTGAAAAAATTCAGTTTACTTGGCCATATTCCTCTAGGTGTGTACTGCAGTCCCTAAAGTTTCTTTTTTAATTGTTGATTTTGCTAAACAGACATTTAAAGCATTTGTTTTTCTCAGTTCCCTTCTTATTTTTCCCATGTATGCAATATTTAAATAAAAACCTACAAGGATCTACTTAGCCAGCTACTAAAAAGTAGGGAACATTAGTTATGGATGAGTCCATGTATATGAACAAATTGCACATGGCAATAATACATAATAATTATAAAGGGAACTATATGTTTTTGTTTTAAAAGGAAAAAAAAATCATTTGTGAGCTTCCAAGGACTGCAGTATTTAGGTACCTTTAATTTGGAATGTTGTTTATATATTAAAAAAGGAGGATGGAAAGGGAAAGTGGTATATTAGGCAGACATTTAAAAGGTATAATGGAAACCTTTTGTTACTTTCCCTCTATGGCATTTTTAATCACATTTTCGGACAATCTTCAATATAATGCTGCTATAGACTCCTGTGCAACATTGGATTGACACTTGTACTTGGGAAGTTTGAAACACTACTGAGAATTTAATGTAAATATATTAGTATATTGATGCACCCAATTTTTATTTTTATTGTATTTATATGATTGGCTCCTATGATAATTTTTGATAACATCACTTTGCTGTGGCCAGTAAATTTCAGACTGCAAGTCAGACAAGAAATAAGCCATCAGAACTTGTTTCTGGATGTAAACACACTGTCTTTGCCATAATGACATGGCAAAAAGTCATTTCTCAGCCCTTCCCCCCCCTGCCCCAAACAGGTCTGGTTTAAACAAGGTAGGCATGTAAAATAAAGAAAAGTCATAAACCTGGGAAGGTGCATTGAAAATTAGTTATTGAAATCTTATGGATACATCCTTAGCATATATCAGAGATATGGTATGTGCTTTTGCGACATTTGTGTAGGTATGCTAATTTTGCATACATAGATGTCAGTGGCTAACCATGTAAAGGTTAGCAAGTCCCTTAGATCTCCACAGCTTGGTGTGTGTATAGAATTGTGGTCAAGTTTAAATGCAATGGTGTTCTTTGTCATATTTGATCTCACATGTAAACACAGCTCACATATAATGTGATCTAATCTACAATCCTAACTTTGCTTCTGAGAAAAAAGAAAATTGTTCAATCTAATTCTGACTATTTCACAAGTCTGTCACTGTGTTTCCAAACACAGATTTGCTGCACTCACAATTTGGATTTGTGTGTGTGTATGAGAGAGAGAGAGAGAGAGAGAGAGAGAGAGAGAGGGAGGGAGGGAGGGAGGGGGAGAGAGGGAGGGAGAGAGAGAGAGAGAGAGAGAGAGAGAGAGAGAGAGAACAAAGTGTAAGCAGCACAGCAAATCTGTTGAAATCAATAGAACATAGCACTAAAATTATGCTTAGAATTAAGGAGACAAGAAGCAGGACAAATTTATTTTACTATAAAGTTTAGTTAGAATTATTTGTATTATTTATTCTGTACATTTTGTATCTTTTACGTTTGAAGTTACAATTATTATTCTTGGGTGCCTTTCAAGCAAATCAAAGAACTTAATCATGATAAATAAAACTGACAATAAAGGGATTTTTTTTAAAAAAATGCTTCTTTGTATTAAGACTCCCTTTTTAATTTTCTCTCTCTTTTTTAAAGTAAGCTCTGTGTGCATGAGTTCAGATCCATTCTGAAATCAAATTGGAGGCTTCTCTCCATTGCCATGCATACAAAAGTTTCTTGTTCTGGGGTTAAGACGGCAGTTAAATACCAGTGTATGATTGAAAAAGTGCCAAAATGGTAATCTGACCTGCATTTCCCCCTCCTGATTAAGTTACTCTTTTGTAAACCAGTTACCCTTTGATAAAAATCTCCTTACACACTTGTGTGCTGAAAAATCAGAAGGAGCCTAGTAGCATCTTCTCTTAAAGATCCCAATAAATACTAACTGGGAAATGTCTATATATGTGACGACAGTCAGACTTGTTAATTGTATCTACCATAAATAAATAATTTCAATAGTGTCCCTCCTGATTGCTTACATAGTAACTTTGGCTTAAATATAAAGTATTGATTTTTGTAGAGAAAGTTCATGACTGGAAAGTAAAGAAGAAAGACATTAACACCAAATATTTCATTCATTTATCTGATGCAGTACTACAGAAAGCAAACTATATCTTCACATCTGCTTGACTACTTATTTATGTCTGCACTGAATTTTTGTTAATATATTCCAAATCAATATTCTCCCACGGATACCTCCAAGAATGTTGAACAACTCTCAGAATTATATGTGAGCAAAAGCTGGTCAAAGTATTAGACTCCAAACAATGAATATAGAGACATGAAACAGTGTAAGAACCATCCCTTTATTGAGATGAAGCATATTGCTCTGAAGCTTTGCTATGGTTAAAGGATTGTGTACTTTACTTAGAATCTTAATAGACTGAATGAATACAGAGATTATATCTCTGTCTCCATTTCTACCTGAATGAAGTACCAGCGTCTGGGTTGAGCTCTATATAAAAGGTAAAAGTTTTCCTGTCAATGATGTCTGACTGTAGGGTGTGGTTCTCATTTCTGTTTCTTGGCTGAGGGAGCCAGCATTGTCCAAAGACAAATTCCATAGCCATGTAGCCAGCATGACTATATGCCAAAGGGGCACATAATTCTGTTATTTTCCCACCAAAGTGATACCTATTAATCTATTTGCATTTGCATGCTTTCAAACTGATATATGGGCAGAAGGTGGGACAAGGAACAGGTGCTCACCCGGTTGCCCGAAGCTCAGGTCTCAAATGTGGGCTGTCAGTTTTCTAGCTGTAAGCTCAACATTTTTAACCCCTGAACCATCACACACACATACACACACACACACATACACACACACACACGAAGCTGAAAGCACCAGCCTGAAGATGACGAATGGGACTTCGTCGAAACGTCGCCAAGACACTTCCAATTTTACGTGGGAGAAAACCCGAACAACCAAAGACCTACATATATATATATATATATATATATATAGAGAGAGAGAGAGAGAGAGAGTGAGAGAACTCTTAATAGGAGACGTCACTATACTGTGTCTCAATAAATTAAATTTGTATGCCATAGATGTAGAAACATGATCACTAAGCCCCTAATCGTTTTAGGTGGGTAGTCAAGAGCTTTGTTTAACTATGATTCATGGTTAACCTTATTAATGATGATTCAGCAGACATCGTTAAGTGATCTTCAAAGTATAGTATCTATCTTCTCACCCTCCACCACCCGATTTTACCAAAATGTAATTGTGAATTCTAATTTTCCGGTTAAATTAACTGGCTAACAAACAAATCAGCTGCATTTTTATGGAATTTAAAACCAAAGAAAAGATAGATCAGAACTGATGATACTCAAAATTTCTTCTGAGGGCTTGTAAAGAAAATACACTAAATTCAGAAATATTTTGGGGCTGCTGTTCTTCTAATTTTCACTTGCAAAGTGAGACTTGATCACTTGACCTTAATACCTTAAATTAGAAATATGCCAAATTCTCCCATCCTTAATTACAGTACACAAAAGGAAGGAAAACAAATTCATATAAACTAAAAGTTGCATAAATCCCTAAGCTTTGCAAAATATGCTTGGGTTAGTAACATGTGAAAATATGTTCTCCTGTTCCTTGAAATTCTACTCCCTTCAGAAGAGATGTATCTTTTTTACCTCATTCTTGGAGGGCTTCAAAATCATTTATTTGTATTTATTAAAATTTTATTTATTGTTCACAGGTGGCAGAATTTGGGGATTAAGTTGTTCCTTTTCTTGTTATGTATCTTTTCTCCCTGATTGCTTCTGCTTCTGGATATGAAAAGGCCACATAGAAGCATTCTATCCCAGTTGTTCTCTTGAGAAATAATAGAAAAATGTGATATCAGAGATTTTCATTTTTCTATTATATCCCAAGGGTCTGGTGGTGAAATGATAGCAGAATTAGATAAAATAGTCACTCTCGTTCTTGATATCTGAAATAAGTCCTTCTACCCTTCTTTGAGGAGTTCATTTTAATTTTATTTATTTTTTGGGCATGCTGAAAATATGATTCCTTCTGTGGAATGAGAAACATCAAAATGAAGGTTTTTTTTCCTGCACTGTACTGATTGATTGATCAATTTATATGTATGGCCACTTCATGTATGTAACTTTGGGTATTGCATCCAATTAAATTTGAACACAATTAGAGGAGTGAAAGGCCTCAACACCTTCCAGAAACTTATAGTGCAAATGTTTAAGGCACCAAAGCTTTTATATGAGCTTCATTTGTATAGATCTTGCTATTTTAGGTGTTCGTGGTCTATGCATAAATGCCTGCAACAATTTACACCTTTAAAGTTGCACTGGAAGGGAAAGGAGGATTGGCCAGAATGCACAATGTATTTCAAATTTTAAAAACAGAAGTGTGAACAGATCGAGCAATACCCTGCAACATATCTTAAATTAATTCACTCAGAGAACATTTTCCAAAGCGCCTGAAGGCAGGACAAGAAGCAACGGGTAGAAACTAATCAAGGAGAGAAACAACCTAGAACTAAGAAGAAACTTCCTGACAGTTAGAACAATTAACCAGTGGAATAACATGCCTCCAGAAACGGCTCCAACACTGGAAGTTTTTAAGAAAAGACTGGACAGCCATTTGTCCGAAATGGTATAGGGTTTCCTACCTGAGCAGGGGGCTGAACTAGATGACCTCCAAGATCCCTTCCAACTTTACTATTATTATTATTATTATTATTATTATTATTATTATTATTATTATTATTATTATTATTAACATTGTGGTTGAATGGTGAGTTTAACCCTCCTGCCAGTCAAACAATCACTATTTTAGCCTCAATAATTGACAAAGTTTTATAAGTGTGCTTTTAAGAAAAGGAAAAAAAAATCTCATCCATCTCTTTTCAAATGTTAAATTTCTCCATGAAAGTGGAAAATGTTATGATGCAGATTTTAATCTCTTCTGCCATGGTTTTGTTGAGACCTGAATCTTTCATTTTCTAGATAAGCAGCAGATACGGCTGTAATTTAGAAGTGCTTATGTATTGAACAATCAAATTAACCAAATGGCAAAGATGGCTTAGATTTTGCAATAGTTTTCTATTCCAAACAAAATAACACATGGAACAATAAAAGATAGAAATATATATTGGTGTTCCTGCTTGGATGAAATGCATGAAAAAATCTGAAGAGAAGTTGGAGAATGTTTAGCAGAAAATGACCCACTTCTGCTTTAGAACAGTACAATACTTGAGATTTCCAAAAAAAAAAAGTGTTCTAGAGGACATGGAAATGTAAGTAAAACAGTTCTTTTGTAACTCTATTGTCCCACAACTTTCTCAAAAACATATTACTGCCCTAAGCAGTTGCTGCATGGTCCCAGAAGAGTTTTAAAGAACTGCACACAGGCGCTATATCTGCATATTTATGTTCTAAACATCATTTTGAAATCAAATTGAAAATATTCTATGGTTATACTCAGTACAGTCAAGATTCTTACAAATATCATAATCCTTTCCTTGTGTCAATTACTCTTTTCTCTTTCACAAGTTTTACTTTTTAATATTTTAAATAATGTTAACAACATTCACATTGATGCAAATTGAGACCAGATAGATGTAATGACATCCCTACAAGGATTACTTCTTCATGTGCTCAGAGACCAAAGCTGAATCTGTGCATGCATACTGAAACGCCTCATTATATTACACCTGGCTTCTTGAACTTGTTAACAAGCTTAATCACCTATCACAATTGCCGATCAGTTACTACACCACGTTATGTATTGAAACATTCATAATTTTTTTAACAATAAAAATGGGTATCAGAAGCTAGTGAGTTTATAATGACCTAAGTCTAGGATTCTGTTTTGTATTTACTAATGTTCTAATGTCTCTTGACTCATAGTACCGTATTTGGTCTCCAGCCAAGTTATAAAACTCAGCTGCCTGCATGTCCTTTTGTTCTTTTTGTTGTGCAGTTTTTGCAGATTTTGATATCTCTATGACCATTCAGCTAATAAATAAATAAATATTTTAAAGGACAGGAAGCAACAACCCGAGACAATCAAAATTATATAAAGATATTTGCTGTATCCACCTAATTTTTTC